ATATATATATATATATATATATATTATATCAGTGCTCTTTCAGTGTCAAATAATTATCACATTTATAATTGAATTATGATGTCTCATATTTAATGTTATTGACAAACCAGATAAGGAGGGGGAATGGATGATATAGTTGTAGAAGTTATAGAGAGAGAGTTGGAGAATATTTATCGACCAATTTCTAGAATAAATAAATATGTGCAAGTAGTATTTTTTGAATGTAAGATTATATTTTCAATTGATATTTTTCCTCTATGTAACCCAAAAAAAAATAAAAATCAATTGATAGAAGCATACAGCCACAAAATAATTGTAAAACTTTTATTCTTTATTTTTTTTTAATAATTGAGAAAATTTTCTGCAGATATTTTTGAAGACTCTAGAATATTCCCTCTTATGATACGCCATAATAGAGCTTGGATAATATTGTTTGATGAATAATGGCAGTAGGTAATGAAAAAAATCATCACCAACATAATTAATTTGAATAGATAACCACATGTGCTTGTGTTAGTGCTTGTACAAAAAATATTACAACATATAAAAAGTAATTACAACATATAAACATATATATATATATATATAGTATATAATATAATACAGAATAAAAATGGAAAATAACAAAAAGATTATATATATATATATAATTAGAAAAAGATAAAAACAAGAAATGAGATGTATGTAAACTCTTATCTAAGTAAATAACTTGGAAAAAAAAAGATAGAAGATTTTGAAGTTTTCATGTTAAATAACCTAAATTTACAATATATAATATATTTTTTTTGTTATAGTTATGTGTTTAAGGTGTTATTTGTATTGTTGAAAAACTTAACAATAGTTATACAATTGTTATCTCTAACATGAAAACCAAAATTCATCACCATCTTAATGAAAATCAATCCCCAAAGTAAGTGATTCACTAAAATAAACTCAAGTCTCACTTTGTTTTCTTCTCAACTAAAAGGTTAAACATTATTATAATAATGTCATGACTCCTCCTTTAAGTAAGAGACCTCAATTGCCTTCAAACACACAAAAGAATTTCACCAATTAGATATTTATGACTATTAAAAACAGTGAACTCAGTAATATTTTTTAGAGCCTAATGGAAAACATCGAGTTTATGTTTATTTTTTTCTTTAAGACTTCCATTAAAGAAGTATGGGTTGTCACGTAGATGAAATCGAGATATCATAATAAATTGTTGTTTTGAAATTAGTTTCTTTTATCTTATTTTATTATAAATATATGGTTTATTCAATTTTTACTTTTTTAGTAATGTTGTATTCAATATTTAATTTTGTTTTTTCTTGTAAATTTATGATAATGTCTTTCATAATTATTAAATAAATGAACTTATCAATGTGAAAAAAAAATAGATATGACATCTTTTAAATTTTCAAAATTTTGAGAATACAAGTTGTTTTGGTATACTTAAATTTCTTTTTTGATTAATTTCTATATTTCCTATACAATAAAAATAAAAATAAAAAATATTTTAATAGAATAATTTTGATGTACACCTCTATCAATTTTATATTTTAGGACATATAGGTTATGACAATTCAAAAATCCTAAATTTAATAAAAGTGAAATTTAATTAAAAAATCTACACACAAACATTTTCTACAAAGAATGATGTAGTTCTTATTTTCTATTAGACATGAAGATATGTAAGAGTATGAAATTATTTCTATCGAGTGAAAAAATAATAATAATATTGACACTTTTTTATAATAATAATAATAATAATTTTAGCTTTCATTAAAATAAAATAAATACATAAATTAAATAAAATATATTTGATTGTCACAGTTAATTTGGATGAGATAAATATTTTAAAAGTTATAAATAATTTGCTTAATTAATTAAAGATAACTATATTTATCATAAACGTTGTAGGATGTTAATACTTTTTTATATATATATATAGATAATCAACTTCCAAATTTAAATATGTTTTTGTAGATCACTTTTTATATCATTTTTTAAAAAATATTTTTCATAAAATAAATATTGATATCAACTTCCTATAATTTAATTTATTTTTGTCAATTTATGACAAATTTAGTTGCTAAATTAATGACAAAATATATTACTATATTGTGTGTGTTACTGTATTATATATTTTTTTCTTGTAATAACCACACAGTGTAATACATACAATTAATATGGCACTCTATTGGTTGGTGAAAGCAAATTATCTTTTCATTCAAATAATGGGGTGGTGAAAAGCATCAACCCACCACTTTGGTGACTCCACTTTCTCTCCACCTGAGAGGAAGTAACACGACATGTCACATGTGCCATAGATGCTCATGACCATACCTATGTGCATGTAGGTATAATTAAAATAATCATCCCGGTTTCAAACGGAATAATTAATCATGATAAGTGCTTAATTAATGAAATCAAGTATTTAATTATAACTTGACCCAAAGGGGTTTCCATGGCTATCACGTTCCGTACTTTTAGAACTTGGGTGTTCTATATTGATCACTCACGACATGGAGAAATTGGCAAGCATGTGATTTGCAAAATTCATATTGGACTTAATCGCTAGTTATTATGAACTTTTGCTTAAAATCTTTTGACCTTTCCCTCGTAATAATATTTGTAATAAGTTGTCACGTTGAATTAAAAAGTGTGGTTAGCTTATTTATGTTTTTCCTTCCTGGATCACACGTTAAAATATTGCCTCAGCATTTAATCTAGTTTTGATGTAGTTAAGTAACAAAATCAATTTTTTTTGGTAAGGAGCACACGAGAGATAATTTTGTTAAAATTTGATAAGATTGTTATAAAATTTTTTTTAACTATTTAATACAATTACATATTTCAGACACAAACATATTATATATTGATTAAGTTGAAATTATCTTATGCTAATTAACCCACATAATTTATGATAACTGACTCAAATTAATTTAAATGCTAAAATAGAACTTTTGATCTTTTTATTTTTGATAATCTACAATTTTAGTATCTATATTTTAACATAAATATTTAATCCTTGTAATTTCAAAAATATAAAATTTTAGTCTTTTCATTAAATTGACATTTATTAATGTTAAGTTTTAATATTTACTCATACTTAAATGATGAAATATTTAATAACATAACATTTTGAGATAAAAATAAAAATAAAAACAACATGTAATTAAATAAGATTTATAATAAAAATAAATATTAATCACTCAATAAAATAGATAAAAAGAAAAATCTTTTGCATGTTATTTTTTAATTTTTATCTTTACATATTATGTTACTAAATATCACGTCATTTAAGTAATGACAAAACATTGAATATCGTCAAAATTTAATAATTAACGAACATTAAATTGTTAATAGAATCAAAATCTTATATTTTTAAAAATAGAGAGATTAAATATAAAATTATGAATGATAAAAATAAAAAAATCAAAAGTGCAATTTAGCCTAATTTAAACAACTAACATTTTGGTTCTTCAATTTTTTGGTTAAGTAAAGCTAATGATACTTTTCTAACACTTTCTTTATTATAAATTGGAATTTATAAAAAATCATTGTAAGTTTAACACATCTTATTTTATAAGTCTCCTTCTCAATTTAGTAGCTAGCCAGTTGGATATCCACTCAAATTTGTAACTTCTAAAATTTTCAATAATAATAGAGAAAGTGTTCAAAGTGAAAATCTAATATTTTTCTTTTTTTGTTAATATTATAATTGTCTATTCTAAGCAAAAGGAGATCATGGGGAAGACAATTAAGTAAAATGGAGTGATTAACAATTTCAAATTTAGAGTACAAAAAATATGTTAACATTATGTTAATGTCACACAAGAAAACTAAAATTAGAGTGACTCTCAATAATTAATTGAAATTTACAATATAGTTTTACTATTATTATACTCAAGATTTCACAGTTTAAGCAACATCAGGGTATGTCTTCTAGATACTTAATATGGTGCAATACACACCATTAATTTTTGTTGTGAATAGCTTTGATTCAATGTTGAAGCAATGATGATTATTAAAATCCTTTATGTATATGAATTCTTAAACCATGTTTGATTTTTCACTCTCTGAAGTTGTTAGCACTGAATCTTCTACTAAAATAACAAGTTGGAGGTTGTCAGTCTTGAGACCCGATTCACAATGTGGAGATTGAGGTGGTTTTGGGGCTTGATTTGTATTTTCAGTACCAAACTGTGTAAGGGTGGCAAGATCATTAACTAAATCTGCTATTTTCTCCGTGAATTCAACGATATCTATCAGTAGTGAAGCCACTGTCACAACTGGTATAAGTGATAAAAGGTTTGTTTCTTTCCATGAATTTGATTTGAGCAATGACTTAAGGCTTTTCATTGCAGCTTTTGCACTTGCAACATGTGTATCCGAAGAAGATGGCCTAGTCATTGTTCTAATTGATGATCCTAGTTCCTTCAAGGCCTTGCTTGATTCCAAACTCATTTCTGAACATAGTTCTTGGATGGTGCAACGAACTTCAAAAGAACCCTATAAAAGATGTAACAAGTAACTATGTCAATAATATATATATATATATATATATATATATATATGTGTGTGTGTGTGTGTGTATAATCATAACCCACAATAAAGTTTATATTTAAAAACAAGCAAATTCATTTCGTTATAAAAATGAGAATGAAGATAGTTGAAATTTTAATTATTTATTTGTTTTGTCTGTGTAGATAGAGAAATTACTACATTTCCAAAACCATCATGATCAAAGTCGATCACTACATCACACATACTTGAATGTTAATTATTAACCCTTTCTTGTATAGAAGGACGTAAAGATTAGTTCTGGTTATAAACATATAATATTTTTATATTATATAATTTCTCATGTTCATGTCAATACTATTCAATGATGGATCACCTTCAAAAAGGTTATGTATTTCATGGTGTTGGGTTGTTTTATGTACCTAACTGTTATCTATTTTTTGGAGCTCCTAATTAAAATATAATTTGATATCACAAACTCAAATTAATTAGTTTTAATAAAAAATATTATAACCTTCTAATTATCTTATATATATGAGTTGGTACCCCTTATATCTTTATATATTAATACAAATATTTATTAGCTGATATAAAAAAATACTATTCAATGATATTTTACTTAGATGTAGGATGTAAAAGATATATTAGATTTATGATGTATACTTGGGTGTCAGAACTAAGTTGTGCATTTAAAGCTTCCATTCGATATGCACATTGACGAGAAATGGCACCAATTTTAAGGTACAAGTCCCAAGGATGATGAAATTTGAACTTGCCATGACCTGGCTCCCATCTTGCAAAATTGGCCTGCATAATGAAGAAAATAGAGTACATGAGACATTTGCACGAGATTTTAGATGAAGATCGAAGTGATGAGGGTATACAAAATACACTCACCAGAGAGTCATCACTACTTTTAGAATTGAGAACCTTTTTATAACCTTCTAAAAACGACTTGTCTTTAAAGTCTCCTTTGTTGTCTTCAGATTCTCCTTCTTTTGATATCTTAAAATATTCATGTACAAAAGCTGTAAAATATAACGAGTTTGCAGTGAGTGTAAAGTTTTCAATTTTCATATTATAAAGATAGCCATTTATAATCTTTAATTTTGCTTTCGGTAATAAATGTTATGTATGACTTTATCCATGAAAAATTTATTAAATCTAACCTTCCAAGAAGTCACCAAGTATTTCCAACTTGTTAGCAATGGAATAGTGGAACTCTTCACTAGCCCACACAGGACAAACAAAAATAGAAATCATCACACAAGCTGAACCTCCTATAACAATGGTTAATAGCCTCTTGTGTGCCATTTCCAATACCTCATCGTCTCGAAAACCAGATACAGATATCAAAGAAAATGTCAAGATGAATATAAGCATCCCGTAATCATATCTTGCCTTCACTTTCGGAAAAAACCTTATAAATGATGCTATGGCAGCTGAAAAAAAAAGTACAAAATAACGATCAAAATAATTGGATAACAAAATCAACGATGATTAATTGAAAATAGCTATAGCTTTATTCTTTTGCCCTTTTGTTGTCTTAAAGTATTATTATCATCATTATTATTACTATTCACTTTATTTATTTGGGTTTTTTTTTTTTAGCTTTACCTTGCACAAAGACAAATGTGCCAATCAATATGGGTTCCCCTGTTGTTCCAGCTAGGCTAGCTAAGTAATGAGCCCCAACACCAAGAGCACCAGCTCCAAACGTTGCAATAGCCCTATTCAAACCTTTTCCTAGAGTGGCTCCTAAAAATGTGTCATATAAATATATACACATCAATTACTTAGTCCAACAAAGGAATAAATTAACAAATAATGGGTTAGTATGATAATAAATTGATTAAAATATGCACACACAAATATTCATACCGACTGTGTACTCAAAAACAACCACAACAGTCATCACAGCCCACATTGCTGAAAGACCAAAATTCTCGTACAGTGGTTGGTAGTAATATAATAGAGAAACCATTGAGATTGAAAGACCAACTTTTAGTGAATGAATCACTTTTCTAGGATCATCTTGGGCTATCTCTTTTGTTAACCTAGAAATGCCCAACACCTTCTCCTTAACAACCTTTGACAAGGCCAATACTCGACCAACTACCCCTTCTTTCTGTTGGTTTGTGTTTGGAGATGCCATCTCTCTTTGAACTAAGAAAATGAGTAACAAAGCACAAAGATATGATGTTTTGTTGCTTAATTAGGTTCCACCAGCCACCTTCTTTGTATATTTATAGATAGAGGGGGCGTGTGAAAGCACCTGATTGAAGACTAGGAGAATAATATTTTAATGCATTAAACAATAGTTAGTGCGCTTAATTGTACGGTGAGAGTACAAAGACATATTTACTTACAAAAATGGGTTTAAGGTGGAAAAGCTATGACTATTTACATGGACCCTCAATAAAAATAAAATAAAATAAAAATTAAAAAAGTTTTTTTTTTTTACATAAAGAAAATAGATTTGATCAAATGAATATAAACAGCCTGAAAGAGAAGGTATTATGTTTTGTTCAACCTCGGGTTAATAAAAAATTGAAAATATAAATAAAATTATCCTTAGACCGATGACAAATCCAGAAAATTTGTTAAGCGGAGGTAATAAAATATTCTATATCAATTTTTACTAAAAAAAATATAATAATTTTTTGAAAAATATATTTTTATGATAAAAATTTTAAAATACCTCATTTTTATAATGTCTGGGATTATATTTAAGTGTCATTTTATAATTTTTGCGACTTACTTAATATTAGAAGAATAAAATGGTAAAAATTAATAGGATAAAAATAGTAAAATTATTAATTGATTTTCATTTAGTATCTTCTAAATTTCTACACTCATTTAAAATAAAAATATTTTATGAGTGCAATGTCTATTTTTTTATAAGATTAAAATTATTTATTTAAATATATTTAAGTTAAAAATAAATTGTGTGACAATTACTCTCATTCTTCTTAATGTGGATCATCTCCTACCAACACACAATATACAATACATGATCAAAAAGTTAAAAAATAAAATAAAAATTGAAAAACAACCTACATTAATAAACTAAATTATGAGATCTTTAATGAGTAAAGAAGTAATAAATTTTTTAGCCAAAAAATATAGTATATTATGATAATAAAAAATGAGAAGGGATCTACTTATTTCAAGAGTAAATTTTGATAAACTTATTTCACTCAATAATCCATGTTTTACATTAAGTATTCAAACATTCAATTAAAATTCTTTAATATGTAGATCAAAATTATAAAATTAAAAAAAATAAAAATTATTTGATACTTCGTTTCATTAATTTAAATTGATGAATAAAAAAAATATATTATATGTTATTTTGAATCTAACGAAATATCATATGATTTTTATTTTTTTAAAGATTTGTAAATTTGATGTATACATTAAAAAAATTATTTAATAATTAAATTTATAAAAATTTGATATAAAACATTAGTTATTGAGTAATGTAAGTGTATCAAAACTTACTCTTGAAGTAAGTGAATTTTTTCTTTATAAAAAAAATTAAGATAATTTTGTCACCAAGTGAAAATAATTAAACAATATAAATAAAATATTAATATATTTTATTATATTAGATATAATAAGATAATTAATAATATAATTAATAATATATTTCTTATAAAATAATTAATATTTTATATAAAAAAGAGAATGAAAAAAAAAATTAGTGGGCCAGTTGTCCCCACTATCATTAACATGGATGAAAATCACTTGTCCCTTATTTTTGTCCCATTTCCTGTCCCACAAATCAATAAAAGTCATGTCAATTATATAGCCACGTCATTCTAATTTTAAGTTAGAATAAAAAACTAACGGAGTTAACTCCATCTGTTTTATTTTGATTCATATGCTTAGTTGTGAAAAGAAAAAACGATCCAAAAAGAAAAGGGTAGTAACTGTAGGCAGAATTGAACGGTTATCGAGGTGGGTAGTAACTGCAGGCAGCAGCAACAACACCCTCCTCCTTCACTCTTCACCACTAAACCTCTCGCCGCTTTTCTTGTTGAGGTGTTTCATATTATTACTTTCCTTTTTTCGCTGCTTTAATTCATATTATTGCTCTGATTATTTTTTTAATTTTTGATTTTCTTGAATTATGATTTCTTTTTTAGGTTTGAATATTACTTTTGTTTGTATACAGACGAGGGGTGCACAGGGGTTCCACAATGTAGAGGGTGATAAGAATTACAAAGCCTACAAGTGTGGGATTTTCATTTTCCAGGTATTAATGTTTGAACCTGTTTGCGGAAGAATGTGTTTACATTATGAAGAGCTCAAAAACAAGGGCAGATGTTAGCCAGAGAGTAACAATTACGATAGCACCGGGCTAATGATGATGGAGGGCACACACAACAAGCAAAATAATCAATAATAGAAAGAAATGTTACGTGAAAAAGGAATAAACAAAAGGAAGAATAGGAGAATAAAAAAAATTGTAACAGAACATGAGAATTGGTTACATTTTTTAAGACAAGCTACACTTTAGAGATGAACAAGTAGCGTGGAAGCCTGTTGGTAGGTTTGAGTGAGAGGTTTAGTGATAAAGAGACGGAGTTAATAACTCTGTTAGTTTTTTATTCTAACTTAAATTAGAATGACGTGGCTATATAATTGACATGGCTTTTGTTGATTGGTGGGACAGGAAATGGGACTCGAATAGGGGACAGGTGATTTTCATCCCATTTAACATATATCCATCCCTGCTTAGACCACCTATTTCTTAATAAGAACTAATGAGATAATCGCATCTTTGTCTTGCGTCAGTTATTTTTAGGTGATTAAAATTTGGAAGAGGACATGCATGCATGACAGATATATATGGTGATGTTCAAATCTTATTCCCTTCTTTCATTTTGTTAAATTAATCGATCTCCACACTTTCTCTGAGACTGTGTCTTTGGTCGAACTTTTTAAGGAGGCTCTTGCCTCTTTGGCCTGTCATACAGCTAGTAATTCACTATCTAGGATGGGTACATTTGTGTAGTTCAGCCCACTAGCAAGGAAACGTACGATTCTTCTCAAACTATGATGATTTGTGCATCCAGCTTTAAAGTTTTGGTTGATACCCAAAAAGAATATATCAAACACACCTCATCCATAAGTTTTATGTATCAAATTTTTGCTGAATTTTAGAATTAAGATTTTGTACTTGTTAATACAGCATGTTTTTCTCACAAAATTTAATTAAAGAATATTTTAGAATATGTACAATCAGACAATTAACAAGCCATCAGTTTATCTTAGAAGAAAAGATCTTAATCAACCAAAATTCTTGAAAAAGATTTAGTTATTAGTGAAGTTAATAAATATTTTACATTATCAATAACATGATTAAAAAAATGAATTAGCTAAATTCATAAGTTATATATGATTATGAAAAGCTCCACTAGTTAAGTGTTCGGTATAAGTGAATATACCAACACGCGTTTAGGAACGTGGTACTCAGTTCTAGTCCAAAACTCTAGAATAATAGAATTATTTTTCTCACAAATAAAATATTTTATATCAAAGTGCAATTAATAATCTTAATCTTAATAATTAAAATATTTAACTAATATCTTCCTCCTTTAGATGAGGAAAAACATTATGCGGAGCCATAATTGGGATGATTAAATTGACATGTACATGAATATCAAGCGTTGGACATTTTGATAAACCAATATTGGGCTATAAGCAAACATGGAAACATTCCCAACAATAGAACACAGATCAGATGATCATAAAAGAGCGCCGTATAAAAAAGGGTTGCCTTTAAGAAATGATGTGAAGCCTCATTTTCAATAATTCCTTCACTTATTCTATACCTTTCGTGAGATGAGATGCTCACCAACCCGATAGGTTAGTAGAATGATTTGACATTTTATACTCACATATCATAAAAACGATCTATAAAGGATCTATCTAACGAGAAATTATGTATTTAATTAATCTCTGTTACGTATAAAAATCCTTTAGATCAGTATTAATCACAATAATAAAAATGAGATTAATTAGTTTCTGATTCTTAAGTTGAAGATATCTCTCGTAAGACAAAAAAATAATAATAAAGAAGATGAGATGCCCTCTTTTATTCTTTCCATCGTACGTTAATCAAGCTTGTGGTCGAGGCTCCACGTTCTGAGTGAACTCATGCATTTGGTGAAACCTATAACGTTGATTGAGGATTGATGCAGCTGGAGTTATGAACACAACCACTAATAGATAGAGTAGAGTGTAGACATTTGGAATATACATGCATGGATTGAATATATTCGTTGTGTTAAAACAAGAAGCATTTCATTTTTTGAGTTCCCTGAATTAAAATATATATATAATATGTAATCTAAAGCAGAATCTTATCCATCCCTTTCAGTTTCTTTGCTGATATCAAATTGTAGCCGTTAACCAGATATAAGATTCGAGCACATTAGATTATTGTTCTTTTGTTGTTGCACTTCCCCTCTAGCTATAAACTTCAAAATGTGCATATATATCGTTATGCCTAGGGACAATCCGATATATTCGGGGACATGTGTACGTGGGGTTGTTATTAGAGGGTGAACATGTGAATCAAACAACTATCTCCTGCTAAGATTTTGCTTTGCCATTTTCGATATTAAACTTTTTTTTTCTGATTATTATTCAGTGAGTTTCAAGGTAGGTTGTTACCTGGGCAACATGTCTCGCCAAGGGACCATTACATCATATGGTTTTTAATGCGAAAAATAATGCACGCACGATGAGTTTAAAGTTAGGAAGGCGAAAAGAAAATATTTACTTTATAACATGCATTGTTTATATACAGCTTATTAGGTAATGTGACTCATAATGATTTCTCACAATGCAATATTTATAATATAATAGCTAAGGTGGTACACAACATGATATAATATTTAAGAAATTTTTATTTATTTTTAGATAAAAGTTATAAGTATTTTCTTTTAAAAAAACAATCTTGTTCTTTATCTTGAGACTACTAATTAAACTGAAACAATTATAAACTAATTGGAGGTGTTCCGTATAGTACAAACTTTTTGCTCTTAATAGAATACTTATTTTTTTATTTATAAAAATTACAATTACGGCAATACAATTCAAACCTAATAACTTCGCATAGTGATATAATCGGCTAAAAACTTAATTTAGTCTCTTATTATAATTGTTTGTTTCAATTTAGTCTCACTTTAATTTTTGGTCTCAATTTGATCCTTAATAAATTAAATTGTTATAATGTTGGACTTCCGTCCAAATTATTTAAACGGAGTTAACTGTTGGTCACGTGGATGCCACATGGATGCATAGGTGGATGCCAAATTTTTTTAATGCATCTGGAACTAGAACGGCCCGTTCTGAAACTAGAACGGTCCGTTCTGGTAAACTTTTTGTGTGTTAATTTTGCACTTGGAACGGGCCGTTCCAGGTCCAAAATTAACACACAAAAATTTCAACCAAAATGGGTCGTTCTAGTTTCAGAACAGGTCGTTCTGGTTCAAAATATCAAACACAAACGGTCGATGATTATAGTTTACGGTTGTGAATCGTGCAAGAAAAAAGACCCAAGGTATAAAACATTTCAAACACTGAATTTGGTAATATTGTCAATGGGGATTGATAACTTTAATTGTTAAACATTTGGGTTATACAGTGTATCATTAAGGACAATGCAGTGTCTCACTAAGGATAATGGTAAAAAGTTTTATTTCATTGTTAGTCAAACTGGAGTGAACCACTTACTACCAAATTGACACTATACAGTCAAGGATGAAATGACATGGTATTTCCCCATTCAAGTCATTGACCGATGTACCCCAACAACAACAACCTATTCTTGAAGAGGTACAACCTAAAGTAAAGGAAGAAGATACACAGGACAAATATTTCACCACACAACCACATATACAGGTAGATAATGCTAATATCCTATCAGCCATTTAGTGTTATATGGTGGATAAGATGTATTATTGACACCTTCAGCGTTATCCAGATGATTTCCCTTCTTAGTAATTTCTTTGAACTTTTTTAGTATATGTTATGTTATGTTATGAATTTTTGTTTTCAGTCTCTGAACCATATTTCTGTCTTTGAATTTATGATATGTTATAAATTTTTATTTTCAATTTTTGAATCACATTGCGGCATTTTGTTGAACGTACGTATGTGATTGGCGTTCGGTTCATTCTGAATCCAAAACGGCCCGTTCTAAAACCAGAACGGCCCGTTCTGGATTCAGAACGACCCATTCTGGATTCAGAACGGCTCGTTCTCTGCTGCACTCATGGTGTGTTAATTTTGCATATGGAACGGCCCGTTCCAAATTCAAAATTAACACACATGTGCAACCAGAACGGGCCGTTCTGGTTCTAGATGCATTCAAGAAATTTGGCATCCACGTGGCCAACAGTTAACTTCGTTTAAATAATTTGTACGGAAGTCCGACATTGCAATAATTTAATTTATTTGAGACTAAATTGAGACAAAAAATTAAAATGAGACTAAATTGAAACAAATAATTATAATAAGGGACTAAATTAGGTTTTTATCATAATAATCTCTCACCACTCAGCTGATTCTTGTTCTTTAACAATTAGAATAATTGTAAATGGTTGAGAAGGAGGATGAACTACCACGTTTAAACCAAAAATGTTTCTGATTCTTTGGCACCTGGATTTATGGTAGAAACATCTACTGATCATTACAGCATATAATCTAAATATAGATTGCGAGCTAGGTCATGCTTGCCATCAACTGTGCTCAATGATTTACATTAAAGGAACGATAATATATATTCCTTGATACTTTCTTTATTCATAATATTTGTTTTCAGATGAATCTCACGTGGATTTTATTAAATAAATATCAGACCGAAACTGTGTAATAAGAATCATTCAATAACAAAAGTATAATATATATTTTCTTTCTTCCATTTTGTTTGACGTTTAAAATTTTAATATAAAATTTAAAAATATAATTAATATGTTTGCTCTTATAAAAAAATATTAATTAAAAAACCTTAATAATAGTTAAAGATAATATATATATATATATATATATATAATATGTAATATTAGTATTATAAAACCACAATTAAATTAAAATAAATAAAACATTAAAAAAATGAAATGGAAGAAGTTTGTTGAAATGAATGTGCCACCACTGCCACTATTTTTGTTAGGCTCAATCAAGGGCTTTTAGCATCATAAAGTAGTGGTTTTAAATTTAATTAGTAGGCTTGGGAATTCAGGCACCGTGAAATTATAAATATAAAGTCTAGTTAAATTAGTCAAAGCATATGCTCTTGATCGGCGCATCGGCTTTTGGTATGAATTTGATAACGACATGCACTAACATTGTAGATCTCACTTTTACCAATAAACTAAAAAAAAATCTTTACTTTAAGATGGACATGTTTGATTAAGACATCCACTTACACATGCCCCTCCTAACTTATTTCTTCTAATGTGACAGTTGTCTTTCATGGTTAATAGCTTCTTACAATTAAATTATGTAGTGCACTACTTGCATATAATTTGCTTTAGATCATATATTTAAAGCTCAACAACAATGTGTGTTGATTCAAATGGAAACATCAAAGCTCCTTAAACATATATATACTCATGTCTTTAATCCAACATTCATGTATACAAGAATAACATAGATAAATATTTACTTTTGACAACAGTATCATGGGAATATGTATTTATTTACATAATATAATGCTAGAAAATAATAAATGATGAGATAAGGTAGTTATAACGTTAGTAATTTCAAAGGCGTAAAAAGGAAAATGATGTCAAAAGCGTGAAATGATTTTTGGTAGCCTCAAGTAACTTCTAACTCCTGATAACTTATTTCTTAAAATAATAAATAATAATAATAATAAAATAAATCATTCACCAAAACGTCATTCCTTCCCTTCTCATAAAATAAATAATAATTAAAACATACTCATTCTTTAATAATCAACATAAACATAAGTGTACATATTAATAAAATATATTTTTATAAAATGTCTCATGCTTTACTAATTAAAAAATATATGATAATAACAAATCATGTTTCATAAATAAAATAGAGCTCATATAATTAATTAAATAATATCAAAATTCTAAAATAAATACATTAAATATCAAAATGATTTCTAAAATACTTTTAATATAATTTATGAAAATCGGGGTGTTACATAAAAAATTTGCAATAACCATCCTTGAGCGTTGTGCATATATGTAAGCATGGACAAACTAAAAAAAATATGAAAACTTTTTTTTTTTTTTTGTAAAGTTATTCTTTGGACTCAACTTGTTTACCATGTCTTTGTGTAAAATGATTCTTTGTTATCCTACTTAAACTTTGTATTTTAGTTTGAAGTCTAGAGAAATTTTGTATTCAAAGAATAATTGGTATTGCATATGTATAAAAGATAGTAAAATTTGATCAAGAATTGAATGTAGTATCAATGATTGAGATGAATAAATATAAAAATACATTATGTTCTTTATTTTACTATATTTTCACCCTTAAGTTCAAGTGCTTGTGTAAAAATGTTGAGATTTTAGATAGAACATAATTTAACTTTCTTTCTCTTGTGTGTGTCTTTACTCTAGATTATGGATAAAAATTTATTATATGCCTTCATGTTAATTTCTTTTCCTTAATGTTTGTAACTAATTTTAGTTTTTTTAAGCTATTAGGGTTCTTGATTAGAAACAAAGGATTCGAATTAGAGATAAATTAGTTTAGAGTAATTGAAGGTAAATTGATTAAGTTATTGAATAGAGTAAGTTTAGGTAGACTTACTCCTAAAATAAATGGATCCCTCCTATATACATACATACATATATATATATATATGTATGTATGTAT